CCCACTGCAGGGTGCACCGCATGGAATGCAAGACCCACTGCAGGGTGGACCGCACGGAATGCAAGACCCACTGCAGGGTGCACCGGACGGAATGCATGGTCCACTGCAGGGTGCACCGCACGGAATGCATGGTCCACTGCAGGGTGGAATGCATGGTCCACTGCAGGGTGCACTGCATGGAAGGGAAGAGCCACTGCATGGGATGTAGGGATCAGCCCAAGAAGCGCTGGGATATGCCACACCTGCGACGGCCAGATCTCTGAGAAGGTTTGTTTTCACACCACATCCATGCTTGATGACTTAATGACAGTGGTTTCAGAATAGATGGCACAACCCCCAAGATGTCTTTTAGATGGGGGCCCATATAAACCACCTAACTTGGGGGTTGTGCCATCTATTCTGAAACCACTGTATCTGTATCTCAGACAAAGCCTGCACCCCAAGAGTGGTGAAATATCAGTGCTTTTTGTTGCGATGCCCAGTGGATCCACCCACCACCGAGCTTGAAGCGTTCTGCATCTCACACTCAACTTGATTCTCCCTGCAACAAACATGGAGGTGGACAATCACCCCTGGAAAGACCATTGGTCCTCCATGATTGTTGCAGGAAGGGTATCCCCTGCAGTATTGACGCCGTGAGACATCCCAAAAAGCTTGGTTGGCCGATGCCCTTGCGCTGCGCGCCTTGCGCGGCACACAGAGCGATGACATGGACAACGCAATGGGACACCGGTTCCAATGAGGTGTTTGACTTCGGTTTTTTGAAGCAAAGGACATCTCACACAGCTCCCCTGAGGGCATAGCACACATGAAAGTTCTATGGATGATTGAAAGTTCTACTGATGGTCTACGGGAGCTTCAACCGTGGGTACTTGATGGCACTGGCAGTTCTTTGTACGAGAAAACTTGGGTCTTTCAAAGGCTGTTCCTGTGCCCAAAGCGCCTGGCGATGGCCTCAGAAAGTGCTGCGAATTCTTACTGCACATGATTGAACAGGGCAGTAGGGCTGAACCATGCAAAATGTCCCAAACAATCTGAGATCTATGGAACAAATTGCCTTCCTGGGGCGAGCCTTCTCTACATGTATGGTTTGGGTAGTCACAAACTGGGAGTTTGATGTGGGTGTACAAATTCTGTGCTTGAAACATAAAGACACTAATCTATATTTAATATGTTAAACTTTCAGAAAACACTCTCATCAGAGGCTGCATTGCTGCGTCACTGGGTCAGGCTCCGCCTCGGTCTTTAGGTCTGGGGGTTTTCCAGGGCCCAGACCTGGTCACGGCATCGGAGATGGACTGAGCACATCTGCTCAGTTGCTTATAGTGGATAAAGCCTAGATGGCACACATGTCCAAGTTTGGTATCAACATCTTGGCCCATCTGACCTCTTGAGGGTGCTTCGGTGCATTCGAACCGCCGGTCACATGGATTTGGCCGGGAAGGCCGCAAGGCTAAGAGATGTTTCCATCGGTTTCCGACAGCTAACAGCTGTTGAAATTCGTGGGCTAAGCCTGGCAAAGGCTCTCTGAAGAGTGAACAAAGTCACTCTTCAGTCCCTGGTTCAATGAATTTCAGTCTTTGGCCCCCGGACACAGGAGCGAAACTTGAAGCTCCTGGGACGGAGCTTAAGGCTGGCTCAGAGCTGCTTGGAAGCAAATTTCAGCGAATATCAACCAAGCAAATTGTCAAAAAGACACCTGTGAACCCAGAGGTCATGAGAATCATACCCTCGGTTTCTGGTTGGGAACATCGCCTTGTTTCGTGCCCATTTCGCGTGTGTAGAGAGTCGACAGAACATGTGCCAGTGAACAATCATACTTCCCACTGTCAATGACGGTCGAGTGCCGCTCGACCGCTTCGCAAGACTTAGCAATGTGCGATGGCTGCATGTGCGATGGCTGTTGAGGCTCTTTTTGGTTTCCATCGGATCATTCTGGGATCCCCTACATGTTCATTGCAGAGTTGGAAAGACATCACTATTGGCGTGCAAATATTACCAGTGAAAAGTCCAACTAACCGAGCAAGCAACAAGCGCATGTGATACAAGTATCATGTCCGGCAGGTAAAACAACATGGAAACTGTCCAAAGGGTGGGAATAGGTTGTTACTCCACCAGTGTTCAAACATTTCCGTGCAAATGTGTCACGATGTTGCCATACAGGTTCTACAAGAAGGATACGATCGGGGAACACTATATCAATCAATCCTAAATAGAATTAGAAGTGGCCCTTGTAACCTGGTATAGAGAACTTGGCTTCTGGCTTCTCATAAATTCTCCAAGAGCTTTCCTATCTGTTTGGATGTGACTCAGACCACACCTCTATAGGAAGTGGTGTTTTTTTCGTCGAGTCGAGCTCGATCGACTCGAGCTTCACTCGGTGGAGGAATCCGACTGGTCGTCCCCTTGCTGCTTCCGACTCCTCCAGACCACTCCAGTGGTTGAGTCACCTGAGAGGTGGTCGATCGTCTCAGACGCAACAGGAGCTGGAGTTCACGGGCTCAATCAGGAGCTGAAGTCCGTCATACACTTAGTAAATGCCATCAAATAGCTAGCTAGCTGGAGTCTTACTTTTCTGGGAAGTGAAGCTCCTTGGAAGAGACTCCTCTGACCATGAGTGGTAGGGTACTCAAATGGCTGTCCTCAGGTTTCAAGACAAACAAGTAACGCATGATGTTTCTTCTAGACTGTAAATGGCTACCAAACTTTGGACTTTTCTGCTTCAGCACCGTAGGGTGCGACCTACTTTAGAGGGTGCCAATTCCTGCTTTTGGGGGGTCTTCGGACAGCCCTTGGTTTCCTCCCCCCAAAAAGGGTCTTGGAAGCGTCTCAAACCTCCCTGTCGAGCTGGCCGTGATTGGTGTGCTTGATCTGATAGCCGGTAACAAAGTCCTGGGCAGCGACTGGGGCAAAGGAATCCCAGAAAAAAAAACACCCAAACAAAATCTCGTTCAATCCCAGAACAGGGGAGTGCTTGGAACATCAAGATCGACCTTCCAGTTTGCTCTTGGTACTTAAATATAGTTTCGAGTTTTTTCATATTAATTTTATGTATTCCAAATACGTTCTTTCTTTCCTGACACTATGAGTCATCGTCAATCATCTCAAACTTGTACCAAGCACTGCCCAATTTCAACCTCAAGGGCCCATTTGCGTGCCAAACATTCTTGCGGAGTTGAGATGCCAAGTCGAATCAAGCTGAAACCAAAGCCCGAACCACTGGAAGCCCCTGGAGCCCAGTGCCGTTTTCGTCTTCGGGTCGTTCCACCGGGGGAGCTCCGAAGCCAAAGCCATTCACTGCACGTGGCCGACGCCTCGGCGAGGACACGCGAGCTGGTTGAGCGGCAAAGTAGGGCGGCTCCAAAAGACTGGCCTCACTGTGGCGCAGTTGCGCAGTTTTCGCCTGAAAAACAATGTAGTTCAACGACACCCATGATAACATATTATGATAATGACATATGCAAGTGAGAAACAAACACAGTCCTCATAGTTCTCTCATCTTTGTATTATGTATAGACAAATGTAGTTTAGTGTATATCTGTGCAGAAACAAACAAGTCAACAGGTGTGATTGAACAAACACACACTGCAAATCCTATTGTGATGCCATCGTTTTTGGTTGTTTGTCTTGATATACCTTGACTGCTTTCATTTTACGGTCTGTCAATGCAGGTGTCTGTTTTGTTGAGATCTCTCGGTCCAAACTTCGCTCCGCCTGTGTGATGAGGGCAGCGGGTCGTACGGGCCTCAGAACTCGTGGGGAGAGTGGATGCACAAACGTGTGGCGCGTGGAACCCAGCCTTCGTGGTGACCAACCTGCAGAACGCTGGACTTCAACAGACTGTTTCAGCTGGGATGCTTCAACAGAGTCTTCTTTTTAGACGTTCAATGTTTGTATGTTGTACTTCGAAGGATAAACAAGGTCAAGAGTTGGCAGGAGTATGAGTGCAAAATGGTCCTCAAGGTTCTGCAAATTGCCTACGGTGAAAGTGAACCAAGCAAAGCCTCCAGCATCCAACAGCCTGAAGTTCTGTTGGCTTTTGGACCTTCTCAATCGTCTGGGAGTCTAGAACATCTAGAAATCTATTTCTTCCAAGTGCTCTGCTTCTTGGAATTGTCGGAGGAATGTCCCTTTCCTGCCCCTTTGAAACACAGGGAAAACAATTGACAATGAAAGCAAACACGCTTTTCCAATATTAATTTGACTTCTTTATTGTTTTTCACATTTTCCACTTTAACCTTTCCAACACCGGGGCTCAGCGACCTTCTTTTCCCGCCGGGGTCCCAGGCCGTGGTGCGTTGTGAGCCGTTTCTGCCGGATCGGCCTGGCAGGTGTTTCCAAAGATGGGTCAATCGGGTGGGCTTTTCTCGGAAAGGAGGAGGCATCGCTACGAACGGAGCAAGGACGCTACGTTCGATGCTCCTTGCATCGCTACTAGGAGCAAGAAGCTACTAGTAGCTCCTGGCCATACTACTGTAGCAAGAAGCTACTAGTAACAAAGGGCATCGCTACGAACGGAGCAAGGACGCTACGTTCGGGGCGCTCCTGGCACTACTACTGGTAACAAGAGGTATATACTAGTAACGGAAAGGAGGTTAATTTATATGGTAAATTCTATATAGTTATATATACATATATGGTAAATTTGTAGACATCTATATAGATTGATCTAATATGATTCTAAGATGATTTTAAACTATTAGGTTCATTCTAGATGGTCAAAGAGACGGGCAAATATCAAAAGTGATCACATATGATTGTAGAGCTACTACCATCTCTCTGACCATCTATGGTCAAAAGAGCCTGTGATCAGCGAAGTCCTCACATATGATCATTGACAAACTGTCGGGTGCGGGGTGCCCATGTTCCAAACGATCGGTGCCCGCTGTTGACCGAGAAACGGCTACAAAAGAAACAACCATGACCGTCTTTAAGGAAGA